ATAATTACTTGCTCATTATTAAGGGAGGGCAAAAGGCCTAAAACAAGATCTGTGAGCTCAATAAAGTCACTGGTTTTGATAAAAAGGTATGACTGTTCTTAGGAAGTTCCTAATTGAATGCAAACAGCACTTCACATCTCTGAAGCCAAAACAATACAACTGTAAAATGCAATTGTGATCAAATTCTGTCAAACTTCGTATCGACACAATGTAAAATTTTATTTTAAAAAAAAAAGCAGCACTAAAACAGAATAGTGTAGTGAAAATAGGCTTCTCTTCTGTGTGTCACAGCATATTAATAAATAAACAGCGCTGAGTGAAACATGTAACACAGCTGAGGCATAAGTCCGTATTTTTTCAGGTCTTGATTCTGTAACATCACTGAGGAGGTGAGCTGTATCTGAGCTGTATCTCACTTGTTGGAAAGGGCAAAAAGACCCTGACAGCAAAAAAAATCCCATGAAACTAGCTGAGGAAGTCTAGTTTAACAGGATGGCCTGACCTCTGGATAGAAACTGGCAGATACTGTGCTACAGAGCACTTTATTTTTCACTGCACCGTAACATTGAGAAGTAGGGAAAAAAAAAAAGGGATGCTTGGATTACCTCAAAATCATCATCGCTGGAGCTGATCCACTTTCTTCTCCAAGAGCCTGATGTAATCTGTTTAGGTCTTCTTCGTTATCTCAGGAATATTTTTGCTTATGTTCAGTTTGGTGTCAGAACCAGGAGTTACATTCAAAGTGTCATAAAGCAGTAAGGGCTGTGGGGAGCAGCTTATGCCTTTTCCTTTTCCTTTCCCTTTCCCTTTCCCTTTTCCTCCTTTTTCTTTTCCTCCTTTTTCTTTTCCTCCTTTTCCTTTCCCTCCTTTTTCTTTTCCTCCTTTTCCTTTCCCTCCTTTTCCCTTTCCCTTTCCCTTTCCCTTTCCCTTTCCCTTTCCCTTTCCCTTTCCCTTTCCCTTTCCCTTTCCCTGGCATTGCAGTTATTTTGGTGATAAGTCAAATTCACACCGTGGCCCTGGGCATTTGGGCTGCCTGATGAAGTCGGTGGCTCTGAGCTGCCTGTCAGCTGTCTGTGGAGCTGCACAGGCATGAAATGTATCACGCCCAGGAACTCTGTTTCTAAAAGATCAGTATTTAGAAGAATTTAGGAAATATTCTGTTCAAATGTTACTGACGGCATTAGCTGCAGTCATGTACTGTGCTTTAACATGCTACAGAATTACCATTTTTGTGCTGGGTTAAATTTAACCTTGGGAGCTAAGAATTTTGGAGTGACTAGGAATTGGAGATTGGCCATCCTGGGCTACATTTGCCCCCACTTGAGAAGCTGAGGTCAAGTACTAGAAGAATATTAGATTTCAGAAGCCGAAGGAAAGACGGCATTCAAACATACTAATCTAGTAGAACCAAGCACACATAAAACACTGATACAGACAGGAGTAAAACAGCCAGTTGCCAGAGATTTTCAATTTATTTTGACAGTTTTTAATTTTTACGTGTTTTTGAGAGTGGAAAATCTCTATTCCCAGTCATCCCTTTTATCAAAGCTGTATCAAATACAGGACTGTAGGAGTTTGGCTTTAAGGCCATTCCTTCCATTTTAGCAAGAGATTTGGATTTTGCCTCCCAATTTTATTGCATTGGATTTTGTCCGTTTGCAATATAATAATTACTGGCAATTGAAACCCATCAGCAAGCTAACGTACGCCACTGAGCTACGAAGATGCTGAACTGCTGAGGTAGAAGAATATCAAAATGTCAACACGCTGCAATTACAAGCAGCTGTGATAAGTCTGATATAATGACTTCTGTTCACCTTTGAGAATAAAATTGGCAAGTATATAATTTTGTCCTCAACTCTGGCAAAAGGTGCTTATGGAAGGCTTATTTAGGAGTCTATTTTTTCTAATAAAGTCTGAGATAGTATTTTCTCTTGAAGTGCTCGTGGTTTTTTCATATGCAAAAGGCAAGTATTCGTGCTGCCCTTGATTAACAGGCCTGTCCTATGTAAAACACGTGTAACGTTGAGAAGTCTAGGTTATGGTTAGTAATTCAGATAGTAGCAGGAGTTCCATGAAAAGCAACAGGGATGATCGCGGTCTACAGTGTTAGGTAGGAGATGTAAGGAGAAGGCCTTATTTAGGCTGGCAAGAAGCAGTGGAAGACACGGCCGTGTTCTGACAGCTCACATTCCCTGTTAGGAATAAACCTCCAGCTGTCAGGATTGGTGGACATTGGAGTGGATTGCTGGGGGAAGCTCTGTCTTCAGAAGAGTTTAGAACAGCTCAGGCAATGCTCGAGACTGGAATAAGTACAGCCATTCCTGTCTCAGGGCTACGGGACAGAACATGTCGTCCCTTCAGACCCTGCCCCAGTTGTTCTAGTGCTCTTGGCCCAGTCTGATTCACCCTCTCGTAACCACGGGCACAGTTTTGCTGATTTTCTCTACTGACGCAGTTACATAGCACTTAATAGCCTCTCCAGAGCAATGATCACCTCCTTTACAGTCCAAAATCAATCTCTACAGCTGCACAAAACCCAGCCTTAGTGCTGTGAACAGGCTGACTAGGTGAGCCTGTTACTTAAATACTAGTTACACAGTGCCTGTGTTTGCAGAGCATTTTGAAAGTGCATGCCTGGAAACACTCATATTCTCTTCGGTGCTTTCATGTTAGTGGTTAGGCAGATGACTTGCAGGACAGATGACTTTAAACAAGAATTAGACATCTTTAGGGTGGTAATGCCTTCTTGTACACCAGCATTTTTTAAACTGAAGCTTGGGCACAGTGAACTCTCTGTATTTAATAGGGTTTATGGGCAATTACTGTATCATTGCAATGTAATTGTAAGTGCTTTATCAATGACACCAGAGAAGAGCTAGTCCAGAGTGAAAGAATAACCGATCATTTAAAAAAAGTTACAATATCAAAGCCTGAAATTCCTATTCATGGATGTAAGAACCAGTCATGTTGCTCTGTAGCTTTCTTCAACTGGTTTATCCTGCTTGCTTCTGTCAGGCATAGCCACAACACTGAATTCTTTGCTCTAGCTTCTTGTTTAGTCCTTTATACATTTTAATGAGCTACTTTTGCATTTAAATACATTAGCTTATCGGAGGCTGCTTCTTATTTTGCATCTCCTCAGAACTATTGACATCTACTGGCAGGCTTACTGTAGGTTTCTAAATTTCAAAGCTCCAGGATTAGTATTGGTGTTTTAGCCTTGGAACTTGCTCTCTTCAGAATTTTGTTTGGAAATAAGAGGGATAAGAGAATGTGAAGCTTCAAAGCACGATGTGATTTCTTCTTCTGTAAGTTCTTACCTGGTTTTCTATCTTTGTCTCCTTTTTAGGGGTAGGTTTGCATTGTTTGCGTTTAATTTGGTTTACCTTTTCCCGTCCAGATACTTTGCTGCTGTATCAGTGGCAACATGTACTTTATTTAAGACAATGTAAACAGATAAATACAACAACATTTTTGCTGAAAGGCCCATACCCCCGTAGTACTCTATCTGTTTACCAAATCATTGCCTTGGTAAGTACTAGAAAGGCAGAAATTAGAGTACAAATTAATCCTGCACATTAGCTCTTGCATCCGTGAAAATTTCTGTGAAACCTCAAAAAAATTCTGCCCAGAGGACATTTTCTGTATAACAGATGAATGAAGGAGTGGTGAAGAATAATCTCTCCTTGAGGATCATTCTTGGGAGGAAAAACGAGAGGCAGTTGTGCAGCAATATTAACAAGAACAAAACCTGTCTACTTCCATGAAGAAACATCCTGCTTAGACGCCTGGTTTGCTCTCAGTACACTAGTGGTTGGTTTTTTCACTGTGTAAAATAAGTCTTGGTAATGCTCAGACTGCACAGACTAGAAATGATGTTTTTCAGGTTTTTAGGTGAGCCTAGAGAAAATTTGCTACTTCATCCCATCCTAACCCCCGATCCACACACAAATCTTCAAGTTAAAGTTCAAGCTTGAGCTCGCTCGCCTGGCAGAGAGGTTGTTTGACGCTGAAGCTGCAAACACTGTAGAGATGAGTTATCTACCAATTACAACAGCTTATCAACTGCTAATCCAATTAGCCTGGCTGGCTTCACTGTTGCGTGGCTCTCAGTCCTCTCAGGCTCAAGGTAGGCAGTAATTCACAGGCACTGATACAGCTAACACTGGGAGGAAAGACAAGCTCTGAAAATTCTCCTAGAGAAGGATAAGTAAATCACTAACTATCCCAAGGGTAATTTAGATGCTGTGATCACTGGTGCAGGCAGTATGTAATCACATTTTATTGATGACTCGTAAAGATCAGCCTCCCTTTGAGGCTGCCTAGAGTGCAGCTGTGGAGCACAGCTGGAGCGCCGAGCGCGCCATCCCTGGAGACCTGATCCGGCCCTGCTGAGCTCCCCTGGGCGAGGGAAGGGCTGTGAGCCCTTGAGCCTGGGGCTGTGCACCAGCCTGCACTCACGGCGTTGGGTTTACACCACAGCCTTAGAGACAACCCTCTGTAGAGAGTGTGGCAGCTTGCTCGCCCGGAACTTCAGGTGGTGTGATTTTTGGAGGAGAAAGGCAAAGGCTGTGTAAGTGATCTTGTAATAGAAAACGTGTGAATACGGGTTCTGTATAAATAAGCGTTGAAGCTTAAACATTTTATTTAAATTCATGTTTGATCACTTCAGCAACATCATCAGTTCATTTTTAAAAAATGCTGTGCTTCCTTGGACACAGGTTTGGGAAGCCATGTTTCATCTCAGAGTATGTTATCACAGCACTATAAACACCTGAATACAATACTGGAAAAACACTGACGAGAATCTTAGGCTGCTGCAAGGTACCACCCCAACAACTTACAAAGCAATTCCACTTACCACAATAAATGGGATCTCAAATATACGTGGCTAAAATGGATACAAATTCTTTAAATGTGTGAAATGTAAAGTGACTTATTAGACGTGTGGTTTGTGTGTTCTTTTCAATAATAATTTTATATCCTCTCTCTTGCAGGAGGTGAGGTCACCAAGCCCAGATTTGCTCAGTATTTCCATGGCAGCCTGGCCAGTCTTACGATCCGGCCAGGCAAGATTGAGAGTCAGAAAGTGATTTCCTGTTTGCAGGCCTGCAAGGAAGGTCTGGATATTAATTCTCTTGAGAGTCTTGGCCAAGGAATAAAGGTGAGGGATGAACTGACATCATCTTTGATAAAAATTTAGAGCTGATTTATGAAGTGGAAAGCCCGAGGTAGAGTACACACAGTACAAATGTACTCCAAGAAGCGCAATGTAATTTCCCATAAAGTCATGCAAAGAAAAAGCGGAACAGTAGAAGAGCTGTGACACTGCAAGAAAAATGTTTCCATTATTGCAAACCTAGATGCTCAGGAAGTCAGGAGCTGCTGATATTTCAGAATCCATAGGAATTACCAGGCTGTGTTCTCATGCTTATTTTGGTAGTTTTAAAGAAATAGACATGATTCCTAAGAAGTATTGAATTTTGATCTTAAGTAGCTTTAAAACAATGCAAAACACAAGTGGAATATCTTTCATCTAGAGGCAACTCTGAAAGAAGTCCCAATGCAATAATATTGCAAAATTCAATCATATTAGCTAAATATTAGCTGAACTTTTTCATTGTACAAGATAGGAGACTGACCTGAAGTACACACAAACGTCTGCCTAGGTGGTAAGTTGGAGTGGTGTACTATAACCAATATGTCTTCTGAAAACAAGGGTAAAAATGATAATGGAATGTGCAAAGGCAAGGAGGAACTTTGCTAGCCCTAGCTTTGCAAAATGACACACTTACGAGTAAAAGCTATTTTTAAAAGATGCTGCATGCCAAGAGCAGGTAGGGTTTTCTGGAACGCAGGTGTATGTGCCTGTCAGTAAGTTCTTTGCTGGGACTGTACATGAATTAAAGCAGTATATGCTTGGTCCATGGTGCTTAAAAGCATAGTAAGTCCTCATCTATCGTCACACTCGGAAACCTGAAAATGTCTGAGTAGTCTTGTTTCATGGGCTTGGGCAAACCCCTGTTGTACCACCCGCGGCTGCACCACCGTGGCTGATTGGCTTCTCTACTGTACGAGCAGTGCAGCGGGGAAAACAAAGAGGAGGAATTGTTTTCTGCCTGTTCTTTCTGTCACCAAACTTCAAAACATTTTCATTTGCCAAATACAGCTGAGGCATAGTATTTTTTTTAAGTTACTGTTTTCATTTTTACTTCCTCAGCAAGCCCAAAAGTGCGACAGGAAGATGCAAAAATGAAACGAGCAGTCAGAGACTGGTCATGGTAGAGTTTGTTATTGGGGCCGACAGAAGAAAGCTTAGATGAAAGGGAACAGTTGGCACCTGAGCTTAAACAGAAGATTAATAAACAGAAAGTCCTTCTACTGACAAGAATGAACATACCTGATCTCAGACAAGCACGTGTGACAGCGGCACAGCTGATGGTTCTGTGTGGTTATCTTAGCAGATTCAGTGCCAGCAAACTGACGTTGGCAGATGTTTCTGCTGGGAACTCGGGGCTTACGAAGCTCCACCCTTAAGCCACCTAAGAAAGAACAGTAGAGCTGTAATACAGTTTCTGACACAGTAGTGTTGGACTTTTTTTTTTCCTCTGCAGCCTAATTTTCAGGTATCCTAACAGCTCTCAGAAACACTGTCTAAACTGTTGCTATTTTTAGCCTTTTTTAATGAGAAAGACAAAAATGGCTCAGACTAGGGCTTTCTCCAGTCCCTTTGGCAGCACTCCAGCTGTTCTGGCAGCTGAGCTATTAGGTTAACTAGCTAGCCAGAGTCTCCTTTTGCTAATTTTATTCTCCACTACTGCTAGCTGACAGAAAGGAAAAAGAAGTGTGGGCAGGCTGAGACTCTGTTAGTCCTTCTCCTTGTTAAAAAATACCCTTAAGTGTGTTATGACCTTCTTGCGCAAGCGTTAAACCCAGCCCTCCATGTTGTGTTGACAGAGAACTCTGTGCTTCATTCTGTTCCGCACAGTCTATTTGCTGTTTTGCTTTTCAGCCTTTCTCTTTTTAAGGAAGCGTAGACAACCATTGTCTGTACATAACAGAACATGTTCCTATAATCAATATCCACCTTGGAGAAGGGACTGCATGTGAGACAAGGGTGCATTTCGTGGTGTTTTGTGCTGGCAACAGTAGGGTATAAACTCAAGGGGTTAATGTGATTTTCTCTGCAATGCAGATGGTTTGATGAAGCAATTAACAGACCCCAAAAATAGAATCAGGATAAGTATGATGAAGATAAAAATCAATAATTTGCTATGTGAATATAATAGCAGAGTTTCTTGATCAGCAAGACTGTTATGTTCAGTGCAACAGACTAGAGAAGGATCAGAGCTACAAGAATAGTTTTTAATTTTGCCAGGTTTGTTGAGTCACATGAGCAGCTGCCTTTGTGCAAGTAGCTGCCCCATCTTAAATCAGGACACCCTTATTGATCATGAGACAGAGAAAGGAGGATCCCCTTTATTGTGCCTGACGTTAATGAAGATGTAGGAGGCAAATGTTATTGTTTTGTTCATTCATGTTGAAACACATCTCAGAAGAATAGCCCAGGGTAAAGCCCAACAGAAGGCAGGAAGAAAAAAGGTTCTGCATAATACTCTGGTTTAAGCCAATATTTTTATATGGGGATGTGTCTAATCTAAAAAAAATTACATAGCAATAGTAAAAGTGACAGTAGGTTAAGCTTTTGACCTTTATAGATGCAGAAATAGGATCAACAAAGTTGATAAGGCTGGGAAAAGCACAGCAAATTAGAATTGGTTTAGTACAAAATTAATTATAACAGTAGTTAGCCAGACACAAAATAGAGGAGTGATGTGAGTAGATGTTGTAGGGAACAACAACAGTACTCTGTACCTGGTGCCTTAAATACTATTTATATGCATTTCCCCTAGTATCACTTCAATCCTTCCCAGTCAGTCCTTGTCATGGAAGGAGACGACATTGAGAATATAAATCAAGCTCTCCGAAAGGTCTCATACATCAACTCTAGACAGTTTCCTACTGCAGGCGTACGACGTCTCAAAGTCTCATCTAAAGTCCAGTAAGTTATACTTCAACTGAACTGATTAGATTAGAAATTTTTTTTTTTTTTTAATGACTTACTTTTTTTCCTCTGGACATGTAAAAAGAAGAATTTGGGCTAATTTGCATCACTGAATTATACTTTAATGTTATTGAGCATAAAGGATGAATTTCCTTTACTTTCATGCCAATTTACATCGTGGTTATCTTTTGATAATGTCCTTTGAAGAAACTGTTCTAATTTAATTTACTTGTGTTCTATTTAAGGTTTGCAAAACACAGTCTGGACTGAACAGTACTTGTATTTATTACATTCTTATTTTACTGTTCATTTTAAAAAGTTACAGTTTCTTCTGAAACAGCTAGAGGCATGACCTTTTAAAGCAGGCTTATTGCATCTGACAGACAACACAGCTGCCAGAACAGTGTTTGTAGCTAAGCTTGAACCAGTGTGTCTGTCTGTATCCCTATACGGCTGTCATCACTGCAGAACTGCTCTTGGGTGTTACACAGAAATATGTGTCTTTCCGTTTTCATGCAACAATAGCGACAGAACCTGCACAATAATCTTTACAGTTCTACGTAACCCGAGAGCCATCTGCCGCTCCCCAGCTCCCCGGGGGCACATCTTGGTTGCAGCAAGTTGTACAGTGCAGGGAAAGCAGAGCTCTAGAATGAAAATAAACATCGGTTCTGCGAACTCTCATCTACCTCACGTGCAGTTCATGCTGAGTAACAGGTTTAGTCTCGTGCTGTGGGCTGACCACACCAAGTGTTTGGGGAGCATCTTCTAACGTAGCGTCACTGGGAGCAGCCCGGGTCACACACTCCGAGGCTGGCCCAAGCCTTGTGCCAAGGTGAGGTGAGGTAGAGTCTGTCAGTAGATTCATTTCCAAAAACCAGTGTTATTTCAGATGAAAATGCCCATATAGGCCCCTTTCGTGCCCCATAAATGCTGGGGGAGGGACAGAATGAGCTAATGATGGGTCTGATTTAAATGGATGAATTAGGTCCTTCTGTTTGCATATGACAAGGTAACCATATTATATTCATTAGATACCACTTTGAGAATTTAATAGTAGATTTCCTAAAGTTCGATGTTACCATCTAATTAACTTTTTTTAAAAAACATTTGCTACTTTGTTAAATGCCAGTTAAACATCAAAATGTTGTTCTCCTAGTGGCATTGCACTGGAGAGCGAGCTTGTTGCTCGTCTCTTTGCTGAGCTCTCCCTGCACAAATCCAGTAGCTGTGACTGTGGGAGGGGGCGAGAGGAGCAGAGCTCTCACTGTCGCTGCTGCTTGGTGTTACGTGGTGGAGCAGGTGCGCGTCCTTATGTGTGTCCAAGGGCAGAACAGACGGATCTGAGACAATACAAAAGGATGAGCCCTCAGCTGGGGTTTGGGCAGTGCAAGCGCCACACACCTCTGATGTGCGATGTGTTACATGCAGTTAATGAATAATATATTTTTCAGATGTTTTGGTGAAGATGTCTGCATTAGTATCCCAGATATAGATGCGTATGTAATGGTGTTTCAGGCCAATGAGCCCAAGATTACAATTAGTGGGATGGACCACTTTGCTAGACCGGCCGCACAGTTCGAAAGTGCAAGAGGTGTTGTGTTGTTCCCTGACATCAGGATTGTCAGCACCGTCACTAAAACGGAGCATCCAGTGGACTTAAAAGAACACGACAGAGGTTTGTGGATTTCTTTTAAATATTATTATTCCATAACGTGACCCCTCAACGTGTTTTTCTAAAGCATAGTGCAAACCTGTAACACAAAGGAAGTCACTCAGATTAATTCAGGCAGCAGTAATGCTGTACTTAAGAGGTTCAATTAAACACATTGAAAAAGGTGTTAGCTAGTGACAGCTCAGTGTGTGCTTCAAAAAAAAAAGCAGCTGTTCCATTTAGCATCCATTTGCCTAGTTCAGAATAATTCTTTTCCATTCTTCTATACATATTCCATTGAATAATGTTTTTTCTTTAGAATCTCTCTATTTGTAAATAATTTTGTTAATTGTACTGATACATTGGAAAGCGGTAATTGACTCATTTAGTTTTAGTCTGTTGTTATGTTTCCAGCTCTGCTGCTGGTTTGTGGGTGATACCTGAGAAAGTAATTTTGTGCCTCTGTTTCTCACCTATATAAACTAAAATAATTTTCAAAGATTTTTTCAATGATGACACTTTATTCTAATGCTAAGCAATATATGTACTATTATTCAGCACTAGGTGAACTTTCAAAAATATAAATAAGGTTTATATTTTAAAGGAATCTTCCTTATGGATGTATGTGCCTGAAGTAAATGAAAAGCCTGGTAGTCTGAGGAATCATTCTAAACAATATTTGTTAGGCTGGAACAAGCAGCAGCTAGATGCACATCTCTTGAAAAGATAAAACCATTAATGATGTGCAAGTGGAGGGGCAGGGATTCCCTGAAGCCAGGCTCTGTAATGATGCTGCTTATCGCTTGCCTGAAACTGCATCTGTCCTCTGAAGGCTGGAAAGTCAATATCAACAGCATGCAATTACAGTACGTAAAACAACAACAAAAAAGAATTCTTGCATAGAAAAGATCATTATCCATCAGCTAAGACACGATGCATATGTGATGCTCCATGTCCCTAAATGTTACGACATCCTCAAAACTGTTCAGTGAATTAAGAACTACTGCCTTCCAGGTTAGTCTTTAAATTTCATCTATCTCAGTTGGGAATCTGGGGCGTAGGACACTTGTCTGTGCCTTCCATCTCCATGCACCCCCTGAAGTGAAATGTGAATAACGGGCACTAAGTTCCAAGACTGCGGTCTCTGTGTCTGTGGTACCCTCAGGGAGCTGGCTAAGCAGCCTTGCCAGACACTCCGTGCTAGGTTGACCAGAGAATTAAAATACTAAATCGATATGCCTCTCTTTTTCCAGTCACAGAATTATTTTTTAAAAAATCACACATCCTGAAGGCTAGGCAGTTTTTTAAGCCAAATTCTCTAAGTAAGTCACACAACACAAGATCTTAACGTTTAGGATAATACCATGTTCTTGGCTAGATGGTCGTGTTCTTTGTCATGCAAATTCTTTATGGGCCATAGATTAACTGAGCAAATCAGCCAAGCAGAGATATATCTGACATGTACTTTTCCGCTTCAGTTTTCTTTGAGAAAAGAATGAATGTGTGGTACCAACCTGATATAAATACAGTATTGAAAACCAGAATTGTTTACATGAATTTATTTCCAGGATTAAATCTCACTTTTCTATTACCAGTAGTGTTCTTGAATGCCTTTTATTACAGAGCAATACATTTTCTATCCATCTCACTAGGTATTTGTAGGCCTCCATCATCATAGCACCTGAACAGGCAAGACACTTCTCTTTTGGTTTGCTTTAAGTCTGATGTGTTTAATATCGGCAAAAACCAATTGAGCCATCTTTGCAAAAATTGAAAGCCCTGATGCAAAGCGCATAAAATGACTGAGCCGTTGTGTGATCATTTATCTTAGTTTCTTCTTTTTCTTCTTCATGGTATATGCCATGTATTCACAGCCAAGAAGCCAGTGGTGTTAGAAGAAATGCTCCACAACTTGGATTTCTGTGATATTTTGGTGATTGGAGCAGAACTAGATCCTGAACAAGAGTGTTTAGAACTAGATCGCGTGGCGCTTCAAGGGAAACATCTAGACGCCACAAATTCCACAGCAGGATATTCAATCTACGGTATGTTCATGGACTTTCCCTTTTTTCTTCCCACCAGCAATTACATTGTTGGAATGAAGGGACTAATGTAAAAGAAATTAGACAGAAAACTGTGATGCAGGAGATTCTGCATCTGAAAAAGCATCGTCCCTTCTCGATCTCTGGGTGTGCTGTGTTTATCTGTTGGAATGCAGCACAGCTTTGTCTTGATCTCAGCATCCCTCCAGCCAATAAAGAAAACAGCAACGCTGTTGGTTTTTTTTAAAACGCGGGCGTTCCTGAACACCATCACAGCGGAACATGGGAATGAGGGGCTTCCTCAGTTCTCCTGCACAGTGCTAGCAACTCCCTGGCCAATTTTTTTTTCAATTCCCTCTCCATTGTGGACCTATGTGCATTATTTAGCATTAGGCTCTCTCAAGGAATATTTGATGTGCTGCCATTTTCAGATCATTGTGCCAGATTTTGTATTTTCGGTGAATGTTTGATTTCTGCTGTACAGCACAGAGCATTTTTTTTACGTAGCATCTCCTTGAGATTATTACTGCTCTACCACCATTTCAGGTGTGGACAGCATGCACAACTATGAACAGGTTCTTCGGCAGATTCGCTATCGCAACTGGTACACTTCTGCCACCTTTGACAGAAAGTTCAAAGTCAAGTGCTCAGAACTAAATGGACGTTACGCTAGCAACGAATTTAACTTGGAGGTAAGCAATCATTTCGTCAAGTTTTCTTATCCAGCACTGGGGCTGAGCACTAGCCTTATCTTCAGTGGCATCAAGTTTCCTTTAAAATGTGTAAAATGATTGACATGTTCTGGTAACTATAATCAAATAGAGGAAGAATTCTAAGTTCCATTCAGTAAGGAAGTTGACTTCTCCTGTGGATAGACCTCAGGGTCGGTCTGTGTTCTGCTGCAGATATAAGAATACAATCCTTCCCATGAACTCTGCTAACACAGAGAATTACTCACGCTCAAACAGAGTGGAGGCTTTTTTCATGACATAAAATCTCCTGCAGGTCTAAAGTAAAGCCTTACAGCTTCATTAATGTCCTTAGCCTAGTTGTTGTTTTTTTTAACTTAACTTGATATATTTTTCTTTCCTGCAGCATTCACCTTTTCAATTTTTCCCAGCCCTACCCCGTTGCAATAAGTTTTATAATTTGTTCTTCATCAGATGGAGATAATTCCTAATCCCCTGTATTTTTCACTGGCATACAAATAGTGAATTTGACCTGTAAGATCTGTGTAATAGTGTTCCCATCTGCTGGTGAACCTCATCATTCAGTGTAACGTGTGGAGCCAGCAGGTGTGGAATATAGAGCACTTTTTAGTGTCAGAGCTCTTGTTTTTCTTTCATGCCAGGTTAATATTCTACACAGCTCCAACTCCATGGACCATGCAAGCCATATGATAGTACAACCGCAATTTCTCCAGTCTGTCCACCACCCAGAAGAAAGCGTCAGTGCTGTTCACAACTCAGGTATGTGGTGACTTCACGGAGACTACTTATCGTGATGCTGGTACGTTGTCTTGTTTCTAGCATTCACGGGTACGATGGATAATATTTATGCTCATATTATCTTTCTACATCTGTATTTCTACAACATACTGATTTCTGCCCACCCCTTTCTAAACAAAATGAAGAGATGTTTGTATTATTTTTTTAAATGTATAATTGCTGCAGTATTTCTGTTAACTGCTGTCCAGGCTGCAGTGTGAAGCTCTCTCTAGACAAGATAGGTCCATCTAGCCATGTGCAGGGACCATTAGTGTGTGTGTGTATATATATATTATTTTATGTGTGTGTGTGTGTATATATATATTGAATATAGAATTTAACTGGAATTTTTAGTCTATGTGAGTTGAAATATACACCCAAATCTGAAGCCTTTTCAGCAAAGTTAAACTTAGTGCAAAGATACCTGATCAGATGCTGGGTTCTGAAATCCTTTTAGCTGAATGATACATATGTAAAGAAGTAGAACTGATGTAAATTGCAGGTAGTTATAAGTAGTTATATACAGTTAGGCTTAGGAAATTACTGTACTTGTTTGTGCACTTGTACAGACATTTTACTAAAATGAAACTGAAATTTTACAAAATGAACTACTGCAAACTACTTCTTTCTTCCTTCCTTTAATATTGTTCTGATTTCAGAGTTTCATTCTTACAGGCAGGGCAAGGCAATAAAATGGGGTATAGAACTACTATAGCTCCTGGAACTGGAGTACCTTGGTAGAAGAGGTATGTGGAAAGTGGCAGCACTTCTCCACTAACCTAATTATGGAACTGATAATAGAAGAGTCAGTAGTTCAGAGAGATTTCTTCCTGTGACCACATGGAGACAGAGGCTTTTCAGTGATTCTCTTACTGATTCGGCACTGAATTGGCTACTTGTCTTCTGCAGTAAAGTGGGCATATTCCTTTTTTAGTTGTGATTTATAGTACTCATTATGAAATATCTGTAAACACCACTTGTGCACGCTCTGCCTTCTGAGTAGGTGGGCACTAGTCAACACTATCTGCAGTCCCAGGCACACGGCAGAGGGCTGTGGTGATTCTCAAGCCAAAGAAGCCAAAGAAAATGTATTTAGTGTTTTGTAGGCAATTTGTTCCACAAATATAACCCCATTCCTTCTTCCTCCTTTTGTTCTAGTTGTTCCCAGTGTGGCTACTGTTGTTATCATAATCTGTGTGAGCATCCTCATTTTCATCATAACCTTGGGGGTGTACCGAATCCGGACAGCTCACCAGCACAGCTCTGCAGACAGCGAGGGAAGTAAAGAAAATGAGATGGATTGGGATGATTCTGCCCTGACCATTACCGTCAACCCCATGGAGGTAACTCAGGTTTAGTGTTACATCATGTTAGTACCAGGAGTAAGCTGGTAGCTTATGCATCAGTGAGTTTTAAGACTTTTTCAGAGTACACTTGGCAGAACCATTGTATGTATGTACACCCAGGACCCCACCTCAGTTTTCAGTGCTATACACCGTGGTAATATGTAACTGAGCACTTAATATTCGTTGTCATGTTTAATTACTAAATAGGAAGATGAAGAATTCTTGGATACACCACCATGTCCTCTCCATCCATATTTCCACCCTAGGCACCTAAGATGATACAGTTTTTAAGTTTTAATTAGGAACTAATACACTAAAAGGAGGGGAAATGATCAGCAGTTTAAAGAAACTGACATCAAAGGGTTAAATTTTGGCAGCTTGAGTAACAAAGATACTGCTTATTGACATTCCATTCTCGTTTGAGTTGGGTTTGATTATTTGCTGCTGAATCATATCATGTTTGATGCCCAACAGCCACATAGTGATGGGAAGCAGGTTTTCCCAGCACGTTAGCATTTCTAGATGTGCAATGAATGCTCACAGCCACTGGCTAGCGAGAAGGCACTTCTACTGTCTCTCATTTCTTTAAATGTACTGTAGAAATATGAAAAGCCTCACCAGGCAGAAGAGGAGAGCGAGGAAGAAGACATGGAAGATGAAGAGGAAGACACGACCAGTGCTGAATCAGATGAAAGCGAAGAGGAGGAAGAAGAGGAGGAGGAGGAAGAGGAAGTGATTGTCCAAAAGCGAGACAAACAGAGTGCCACCAGGCAAGAGCAGTTGGAGTGGGATGATTCCACGCTCTCGTACTAACAGCCCTCCAGCCATATTGCTCTTTTGTAACAACCAATACAATGTTGTTGTTTTTCCCAGAGTCTATGAATTCATTGACAGGATTTGAACTTCTGCTTGCCTATAACGGTTTTGCCCATGAAGATCTTGTTGTAGTAATTGTAATGATAGAACTGACCCTTTTCTTACAAAGCCCAGAGAAAACGTCACAAACGTACCGGCATCGCCAGTAATAAAGTAATCCAGAACTTGATCTGTTAGCAAGCGTAGTTCTCAATTTCCTGTTTCTGTACCACAGAGATGTGACAAAACTCCTGTCACTCGGTCCATAGAGGTTTTTGCCTTTGCTATTTTTTTTTGTCATACAGGATTGATTTCAGCTTGTTATGAAGAATTAACTGTATGAGTCCAAATAACAATTGCCATTTGACCTCACACTCTTACACGTGTGAAATACAACTCACCTTCAAATTGGGGCAGGGTTTTAAGGCTAGAGGTGACAGAGACTGAATTCCTTTTGTCGTCTTGTCCTGCCTTCTTGGATGTTAACTGTCTTTCTTCTACAAGGGAATATTTAGGACTTGACACAGGCTGCATGTGTGCCCGTGTAGTAGTGGACAGCATATTTTTTTCAGACATGCTGTCAGAACCCTCAAAACAGGGATTTTATCCAACCCACCCAGAGAAACTTAAAGAAAATTTAAAAAAACCCCAGCAACCAGCAACAACAAGGGGCGGCTGAAGGTTACAAAAAAAAAATCATTCTCTGTCCACAGATTGAGTAATTTAATCTTATGCAAACTGTAAATTCTATTGGGATTGATTTACTGAAAACCTGTCGAGCTGCTCATTAGTTATGGATTGAGCCATTTGCAGCAAGTCGATCCTGTAAACTGTCTGTCTTGTAAAATCATTAGCTTGCTGCAGTATCTTCCTGAAGTAGGGAAAAATAAGTGACCCCACCATTCCATAGCTACGTATGGTTGGGACTTAGACAACGATTTTTACATGAGGAAAATGTTCCCTCTTGCTTTAGTGAATGCCAGCTGGAATTCCTGTCTGACTGTATTCCATAAAACATCATGCCCTATTTCTTCGGTACTCTTACCCACCTGAGGGGCACAAGAGCAAGTGACAACATACACAACTGTCAGCTCTCTTTTCTGCTTGGAATTATCCCTTATTTCTTCCTCCTGAAGCCATTAATGTTGAGAAAAGGTTTTATAAAGTAGAACAAGAACGAATAAAACCTGCCTGGAACCAAAAGAAGTGAAAACAAAAGCTAAACTGTTAAGAGGTTGAGAGAGTATTTTAGTTTGTTATGGTAACACAGCATATTTTTCTTAAACACTGTTTAAAAAGGAAAAAAAAAAAGAAAAGAAAAAAAAAAAGCAAGGCTACGTACACTGTGTTGATTCGTCTGTGTGGTGTGGTTTTTGTCCCCTTTCCTCAATGACCTTTGCATCTTCAGAAGCTCTGCATACCAAACGTGCGGCACTTGCTAGGATAACTGCTCTAGTGCATCAAATACAAAAAGGCATGGAAGTGAATGCTGCCTAGTGGCTTGTCTGTTCTGTTGTTCGTTTGTTTCCCTAAGTACTTCCTTTTCTTTACAATGTCATCATTGACTTTTGCTTTTGTAATTTGCTGTTTAAAATGAGCTGCTTCCTCCTCTCCTCCTCTCTCCCGGAGCAGCAGCAGTCAGTCTCGGCCCTGCCTGAGCACCGAGAGAGAGATGGCTGATGTTGTGGAGATTAAAACTTGAGCAACGCTGGGGATACCCACCTGCCCCAGCGCTCAGGTATTAGCAGCTCCTGAATGTCCTGGACTACAGAGAATATCTTGTAGGGTTGGGGGTTCTTTTAATTGCAGCTTCTGCATCCAGTAGTTGCAAGGAATGATTGACGGTGACTATAGCTTCTAGTTTAATAACTAAAAAGTAAATGAAGTCTCAATTAATTTTTAAATTAGAGCCCTTCATGCTCCTTTTTTGTTGTACCAATGATGATGTTGGCACATGATTGTCCAGACTGGCAGTATACAAGTTTTCTTACGTGAGCAGTCCTGTTTAACTTTTGTTCTAGTCTCTCACAGGTATTAAACTTAGAAGAACATATGCAGAATCAAACCCACCTAAATACTACTTATCTGCAGGAATAAAGATTGTAAAATTGGCAAGAAAATCTGTTTAATCAAAAAAAAAAATGCTAAGAATTCTGCATATCTTGAAAGGAAGTTTTATGTTAGATCATTTTCTAAAAACCTAGCATTTTAAATCATTTCCTAGTGCTAATTTTTGTTAGTGACATGAAGCAGGCTCTTCATGATGCTTATTATAAGCACATATCAGCAAGATTTTTGCTCAGAAAAAAAAAAATAGATTTCAGATTAAAAGTAGATATTTAAAAGTCAGTTTCAGATTTAAAACTGGACTTAAATTATTTTAAAAGAGTCTGTGATTTCTGATTATTATCAATGTCATTATCACCACAGACAATATGGCAGCTTGAAAACAGCAATTTACAACCTTATTGACAGCCTTTAATTATTTTATATGTTCCTATCTTCATCAGTGTGTTTCTCCACCTAAGAGATTTTTATGTTTCTGTTACTGGAAGCAAATCTTTTCAGGTCATGCTGGTACATTACACAAGAAGCAAAGTATTTTCTCTACTGTAAATAAACCTACATTTTTAAACCTAAGCGAAATAATACAGGCATGTGTGTGATCACTAAACTTTGGTTTGCAGCAAGATATTCAGCAAACTAAAATGTATCACTGTACCTATTTTAGATTGCTCATTGGAGTGCGTTACGCAACATTTTTCATCCAAATAAACAGAAAATCCTTTTCACAAAATGTTAGCGGGAATGAGATACTTCTTCACAAAATAAACTTTAGAATTAGAATCCTCCTACAGAAGCTGACAGCAATGGCTTCATGAGCAAAAGCTTACTGGTAAAATAACAGTAACATAACATAGAAATACCACTTTTAAAAAAAGTTTTAACAATATTTCCTCCCCTCTATTACTTTCTTGAGGTAAACTACTTGCTTAAAACCAACCCAGAACATATACATGTGCACATATACACACTTTTCTTCCCCCATCCCCCATGAAAAGCCAAAAATCTCTTGTCTCCTTTCTGAAAAAAATATCGATGCTGCAAACTCTGAAATGGCAACTGCAGTGTCTGGCTCTTTAAGTTGTGGTGTTTCTCTTTAGCCCAGTTGCAAGGTTGAGCTATGAAGACACACACAACACGGTGGCTTTGTTTCAGCAGCAGGAAACAAGGGCATCCCCAAGAGGTGCCGGTAATACATGACGTCAGGATTATGTAACACCAGAGGTCTAAAATGACATCGCGCCTTTAAATTTCTGAACTCATCTAAGGTTGGGAAAAGCTGCAGAACCTAACAAACACCACAAAGCCAGGATGGTGATGGACTGTGTTACCTAAATTACTACCTTGCTTTATTCATGACCAAGAGCTCACATTTCTGTTTCACTCCTAGCCCTCACCACAGCTGTTTTATCTTTGCAAGCCAGTCCTTAAAAGGCACAGTTGTTGCAGCCCCGAGTTAAGGATTGGTCAGCAGATAATTCAGGAGCAGCCCTCACCTGACTTTTGCAAGCCCTTTTGAACCCTGCACCCAGTTTGTGTCTCAGCTAAAAAACCTGTATCAGGAGAGGCAGCTCTAGTGCTTTTACCTGGGGGGAATCCCAGCAGGCTGAGACGCAGCACATCCTCTTCTGGAAGTTCTGGTGCCGGCACCTGTACCCCCTCATTCAGCTGCACCACCAGCCATGCTTAGCAGAAGAGAATGAAAGATGGTGCTGAGGTGACAGCGGTTAAAAGGCCGTGGGAGGATTCATGATGCTGCTCCTGGTATCCTGGAATATAGATTATAACACCAGAATTAAGGCTCTTTGCAAAAGCATCTGGATACTTGGAGAGGGAGAGGGAATTAAACTGTGAGGACATCGCCAGGGCTTCAAAAAGAAGTCTCCTCTTCCCTTAATTCACACATGCTGACTGATTAGATATCCCAGTGCCAGATATCCACTTACTGAAAGTGACGACAAAAACCTCATAGCAAAATACAATTTCTATGTAAACAACTATCAGGAATCTAGCAGTAGGCAAAGAAGCCAAGTGCTTAAAAAAAAAAAAAAAACCAAAAACTTGGTGTTTGAAAGCATGACTAACATCCTAACTATTTGGGCAAATTTGCTTCACCTCTGTGGAGTGTAGCTGTTTTCCTGCATGCATGTTTTACACTATTTCTGCACTACTCTTAAAAAGCAACAATAGATTAACAGCAAGAGAACAGCTCATTTGGCAGAAAAAAATCAAAGGTTTCATAGCTTGTAAAAAAAAAAACGCTTTAAATATACTTAGATTCTGGAATAAATCCTGGTGTTGGGGAAAAGAAAAAAAAGTCATTAAATGAAATTTTGGAAAAATACTGACAGTTGCCAGGCTGACAGATAACGGTGATATGAGCAGAATTTGAGAAAAAAAAAAAACCTATACACAAAGTGATACGTAATTGCATAAATATAATGGTTTGTATACATACAAATTTTAAAGTGATATCCTGTGTGTTCGTGTGTATAAAAAAAATACATTATCTAGACTGGAAATGCACCTCTTGTTTCATCTGGCACGAATTCAGGCAGCACAACTAGACTTTCTCTGAGGCTATCTGGAAATGCTGGAATCAAAGCCTATGGCATCTGTGCCCTTAAAAATGGGCCAGTTTTAATGGCTTTTTTAGGATCCCAGTCAGACGCCAGTAATATTGCTGGCTAGTCGGAAATCACAGACAAATGGCCAGTAAAGCTTTGGGTCTGCCAAGATGAAAATATAGAACAAAACCAGAATAAAAACAGGGGACCCTGAACGTGCAGTAGACTCATCCTGACGTTTCACTTACTTTTGCGCATAAGCCTCGGGATTAACGCAACCTCTGGATGATCCCCGTAGCTGTTGACCTTTACTTACTCTCTGCGTAC